ACTTCATAGTTACACCTGGTAAAGCAGCAATGCTGATCGTTTTATTAAAGATGAAAGAATTTAGACAGTTTTTAACTCTCAGTGATGCTAGAGTGTTCGTTTGACTTTGGGACCTGAATCAGACGGAGTTTAGGACCCAGATTACTCCCAGATTTACGAGCACCTTAGTCCGACAAATACGGCAATAACGACGGCCGCTTGCATGTTCTACAAAAAAATGTGCTTTGTTGTGTATCTGACGGACAAACACCAAACCAGTTCCACATCACTGAACTTGCACCATTTTTACAAACCAATTCTGGTTCATCCGTTTCACTCAACAATCGGCCATGTGCGTATGAAAACAAAGGCACTGCGCATGCACGTTTTACCCATATTCTATCGCGATATTTCATTTTCTTATTGTTGCCTAACATTGTACCGGTATTACCGTGAACGGTATAATATGGCCCAGCCCTATACAATATCACCTTTCACTGTTACGCCGATTACATACAGATCTATTTTGAACTTACTGATGACCTTGTTGTGTCTCTGCATTACTTTCGAGAATGCATGCATGAGGTCAAAGAATGGTTCCTGAGTAATTCTTAAACAATAAGAAGACTGAGATCATCGTGTTCGACAGTAATAGCCCTCGTGTCCAACTTCGTGCAGCTTTGGGTCCCTTTGCTAGCTCTTCTTTTGACTATGTCAGTTAGGTGTATTGCTGGATAGCTCGCTCAAACTCGATACCCTGTCTGCTGTACCGAGATCTAGCTTCCACCAACTGCGCCATATCTCTAAGGCTAGGCATTATGTTCCACATGAGGACCTGGAGAAGCTTATTCACGCTTTTGTGACCTCCAGGTTGGATTATTGCAATTCCCTGTACTTCGGTCTTCTCTCCTCCTTAGACTGCAAACAGTCTAAAATGCGGCGGCCCGCCTCCTGACTGGTACCAGGAAATTCTGCTCTATTACTCCTGTTCTAGCTGGCTTGCACTGGCTGCCCATTAAGTACCGTATTCAATTTAAAATATTACTGCTCATGTTCAAAACCATTAATAAATTAGGGCCGAGTTATCTTAGTGAACTTCTTAGGCCACATACTCCTGCTAGAACACTTAGATCTGCTACTCAACTACTTCTGACACAACCTAGATCTCGGCTGAAGTCTTGGGGTGACCGTGCGTTTGCTCTGGCTGCCCCGGTACCTTCCCCTCGCTATCCGCGCCTCTGATTCTATTGCACTGTTTAAATCACGACTAAAGACCCACTTATTCAATCTTGCCTTTCCTTCTAGTTAACATTTCACTTATGATTTCACATTATGTACTTTTATGCTTATTTTAATTCTTTGTTTGATATGTATCTGCTGCTTCTCCTATGTATCTGTAACAGTGATCTGCTTGCATACCTAGTACTTGCTTTGGTCCTACTTCTATTTACCTTTCTTTTATTCTCTATGCTACTTGTTAAGCACCTTGGTATACCCTTGGTTTTTAAGTGTGCTTTATAAATAAAGTTTATTATTATTATAATTTGTGTCAAAAATCACTCCTAGGTTCCTTGCAAAAGGTTTTCTTTTTTTTTTTTTATAAATTTCAAAGTCGTAGTTGTCACAGGGACCAAATGCAATGACCTCTGTTTTTTGTTCGTTTAAATTAAGAGAGTTTAAAGCCATCCATTAAAGCCATCTTTCAAACAATCTAATAAAACCTTCAGAGGACACACAGATTTAGATTTCAGTGGCAGGTAAATCTGTGAGTCGTCTGCATAACAATGACATGAGATTTTTTTTTA